GAGAGAGAGAGAGAGAACACATACATGTATCCATAGAAACAGTGATAGCAAGAAAGGGAGAGGGGAGTAAGGAATAAATACGCGTCAACACATATTGACCCCCACCCCTTAATATTTCCCATTGTTCAAATATTTGCATAGTTCCTCAACATCCTCTGAAACCGGCGCAGACAAAACATAAAATAATACCAATAATAATAATAAAGACCTGACAAACAAGGAATACTTTGGGGTTAGTATTATATTATATTCTTCTTGTCCTCATCCCTTCTTCTTCTCCCTCCCCCCTCCCCCAATAATAATAACAATAATAATAATAAAGCAAAATAGAGCGACCCTCCCCCCACACCTTTTTTTTTTTTTTATGCTCCCTCATTTTGTTTCGGTGCTCCGTCACTTCAGTCTTCTCCCGTCGCGCTCTCCCATTCAGCATCGGAAAGTGAAACTTGACAAGGAATTGGAGCGAAGCAACATCAAAAAGAAATTAGGGTGATTCGTTTTATGCCTTCCGTCCGTAACTTCATCCTCACACGCACGCCTTCTCTCTATCTATCTACCTCAGAAATACGCACAAGCACACCAACCCCTTCAACTTGGACTGAGGGCAAAAAGAGCAAGAAAAATAGAGAAACCAAAAGAAGGAAGTTACGTATCGTCCTAGAACCCCAACTTCTTTTCCTTCATTCCTTCCTTCTTTGGTTTGCCGTTCTTTCTGTTATCTGTTCTGTAATCGTTCTTTAGTTCTCCTCCCTGCACCGCCTGACTTTTCCTTACCCTCCGTGCTTCACGCACCCCACCTCTCCCTCGACTCTTGCTGCGCCGGGTGGGGCACAGGCCCACCACCAGCTGCCACACATACATCTCAGCTGTAGAGGTCATCATCGCCAGTATTGCCTGCACCGCCACTGCCACCGTCGACGCCAGCAATGGGGTTGTCGCCAAACGCTCGCGACTGATGAAGTGAAGTGGCAAACAATTCATACTTCCGAATGTCGGCATCGCTGACGGAGCGCCGTGCCCCACGCATAGCCTCCTCTACATGGAGGCGTGTAATCTCAGGGACGGGATCGATGTCTTGGTCAATGTCGAGGGCACCCTCTTGTTTCAGCTTCTCTATCTGAATCTCCTTTACAATCGATTCACGAATTGCCATCTTGCACGCCCGTTGACAAATACCAGCAAGATCGGCACCAGAGAAGCCGTGAGTAGCAGCCGCAATCTTGTCAACATCCACGTCCTCGGAAAGAGGGGACTTTCGAAAGTTGGCTCTGATAATCGCCACACGTGACGCCTTATCTGGCAACGGGATATAAATAAGTTGATCCAGTCGACCCGGACGCATAATGGCAGTGTCCAATACATCAGGGCGGTTTGTCGCTCCAATGATGAAGACATTTTTCTTTGCATTCATACCATCCATTTCCGTGAGAATTTGGTTAATCACACGATCACTGGCCCCCCCATCACCGTGGCCTCCACCACGCGCCCTCGCCACGGAATCCAATTCATCAAAGAAGAGGACACAAGGAGCAGCAGCGCGTGCCTTGTCAAAAACATCACGCACATTTGCCTCGGATTCGCCAAACCACATTGTTAGCAATTCTGGACCTTTAATAGAGATAAAGTTTGCCTGACACTCTGTCGCAATCGCCTTAGCCAAGAGTGTCTTACCACAGCCTGGAGGACCATAAAAGAGAACTCCCTTCGGTGGGGACATACCGTACTTCTCAAACTTCCACGGAAATTCCACCGGGTACTGCACCAGTTCCTGTAATTCCCGCTTGACATCCAAAAGACCACCTACATCGCTCCATGTAACATGCGGTGTTTCCACATGTGTCTCACGAAGAGCAGAGGGATTCGTCTTTGTCAAGGCATCACGGAAGTGCTCGTTTGTAACAGCCATGGAGTCTAGCACTTCAGCATCAATGGTATCGTCATCCCAGTCAATGACAGACATCTTCTCTCGGACACATTGCATGGCAGCTTCAGTACAGAGCTGTGCAAGATCAGCACCGACATAGCCGTGACTATCCTTTGCTATCTTCTCCACATCAACTTCGGCGTCAAGCTTCATATTTTTAGTGTGAATGCGAAGAATTTCCAGACGTCCAATTTCATCTGGCACACCAATATCAATTTCACGATCAAAACGACCAAAGCGACGGAGTGCAGGGTCAATAGAGTTTGGTCGGTTCGTGGCCGCCATAACAATAACTTGCGATCGACTCTTTAATCCATCCATAAGGGTCAGGAGTTGAGACACGATGCGCTTCTCCACTTCACCCTGAGCTTTTTCACGCTTTGGGGCGATGGAATCAATCTCGTCAATAAAGACAATGGATGGCGCGTTCTTCTCTGCCTCCTCAAACGCCTTACGAAGGTTTCCCTCGGACTCACCTGCCATCTTACTCATAATCTCTGGTCCATTGATGAGGAAAAAAAATGCGCCGGTTTCATTCGCAACAGCACGGGCGATAAGTGTCTTGCCGCTGCCAGGTGGGCCATAGAGCAGGATACCTCGTGGAGGTTTAATACCAATATTCTTGAACAACTCCGGGTGACGAATGGGCAGTTCCACCATCTCACGAATCTGCACCAACTGCCTGCGGCAACCACCAACATCATCGTATCCCACGTCATCAAGGCGTTCCTCATCCTCACGGCGGATCGGATCACCTTCGCAGTGAATCACCGTGTCTGGGGAGACAATACAGAACTCGCCAGGATCTACTTCCACCACTTTGAATTCCACCGAACGCATCGCACCACGGCAAACAAATAAATCGCCCTTCTTTACAGGCCGGTAAGCCTCCAAAAAGTACGGCTTCAAAAAGGTTTCAAAAAGGTCACCCGTCAGATTTTTCACAGTGTCATCAATGGGGAGAATGTGAACACGGTTACCATACGGCACATTGGTGCAGCTGCTGACATGAACAGTATCTCCAAGGTGGCAGCGAATATTACGACGTGTTACTTTGTTGATTTTGATCCTCGCCTCAAGGCACTCCTCGTCTTCCATGGCGATGCAGATAGTGGAGCGGTGTTTTTTGCCTTTGATCATCACTGTGTCTCCACGGAATATGTTCAACTCCTCCATCCGTTTGGGATGCATCATCACAAGACTGTTGTCATCGCTTTGAAAATCATCAGTAATAAGCTTATTTGGCTTTAATACCTTCTGCTGCAGCTCGGGGGCAGGCATGTTTTTTTTCCCTGTGCACCCTCCTCTTGTTCGCGGGATCCCTTGGCACCGTGTGTGTGTGTGTTTTTTTTTTTCGTGTTCTCTTTTCCTTTATTTCCTCTGACACTCCCAGCACGCCCACCAGCCGCAAGAAGAATACCGGGAGGAAGGCAAATGTAAAAGTACTTAGAAACCAACACAAGAATATATATGCACACCTGTCCCAATTACGAAGACCTCTCGCCTGCGCTGTTACCTCTTTTCATTTCCCCAAGAGCAAAAAAAACAAAAAAAAAACAACAACCCTCCTCTCCCCTTCCACACGGTAAAAAGAAAGGCAAATCAGTAAGGCATGCGGTGGCAGCGCAAACATAAGGAGTTTCCGTACGCCACCGCATCCCACTGGCATTGCATCCTCTTTAACTTTTCAACTCCCCGTTCAACACGAAATCCCTCACATCCCATCACCTCTTCCTCGTTTGAATGACTGGGTTTCCGACGCCGACACCTTTTTATTGCATTCCAGCCTTTGTCGCGTTAGCCAAAGATGGAATCAAACGTGTAATACATCCCACCAATCCATACACACAAGGCAAGCAAAAGGTACAAGTACCATCGATATTCCAAAAGGGTGTCAGGCATCGTAAAGAATATCTTGACGTAGTCGCGAAAAGTAAGTTCTGTACGTTCCAGCGCAATGCCCAGTACAGGATCCGTAAACAGGGCAAGAAGCACCGGCAGGGTGATCATAAGATGCACCCCTGTGAAGGCCCCCAAGAAACTTGCAAGCACATTAACGGTGTCGGCACCAATGGAGCCGGCAAGTGCGCCAAAAAATATATTAAGTACCACACGAACAAGGTATACCTTTTTTCGCTCTTTTCGCACGCTGATTCCCAAGGCTCTGTCGACCAGCTGGATCGCAGGTACAAACTGAATAGGATAACTGAAAATAAGACTGAACCCTAAAAGTACCTGCAGCATTATCTTTGTTTTGCTTGGAGGTATAGCAAGCACTACGGACGTTTGTAAAGCGTCTCCAAACGCAAGGTACCCAAGCACACCGACGACAAGGTAGGTTGCAACAATGGAAGCCAGCGTGTACTTGACCAAGGTGGCAAATTGTGGAAGATCCTCATCCGTCATACTGTTCTCCACCGGCAGAACGGTGCCAATACCTTCAAGCGAAAACATATGTCCTGAAATAAATACAAAAATCCGCATTGTTGGCACAAAAAATACCGCCGCTGGTGAAACTCCACGTGTTGCGAGAAAAACCACCTCCTCCCTAACGGCGCCTGCCAGAACAATTACAACAAATACAGCAGCAAGCATGGACGCGTACGCCAGCGCACCCATATGATGAGAAAAAAAAGTCATAGGCGTTACCATAAAAACAGCCAAAAATACAAAAACGTGGTACGCATGCGAAAAGGCAAATATAGATGCAAAGATGGATGAGGCGTATTGAATGTACACCACACAAAAACCAAATTGAGTAAATAAAAGAGAAAAATCTGTGAAATGCTTTAAGGCATCACCAAGGATATATCCCACAACAGCAGGATAAGTTCTAACAACCGCGAGATCAATCTTTTGCTTTGATTTAACAAGGGCCAATGCACAGTCAATCATTAGTGACCCTAATAGGACCATGAACACAAAACCAACGCCGTATCCAGCATCTTGATAATACGTCGGCAATAAAAAGACTCCAGCTCCCACGTTCCCTTTAAATATATGAAACGCCGCACGTCCTAGTGTGTTATGATGTTCCGCTAGTTGAGTGATGGACTCACCAAGAAGCGAACATTCCAACACATCCGTCAGATGTTCCCCCAAAAAATGAATATCAATATCTTCATTGATCTCATTGCCATAATCCACATTTTTCTCCTCCGCTACATTGGAAATTTCATCTAAACTTGTATGATAATTTGGAGTTGCAGTGTATCTGTCACATCGCAAGATCGCCATACGGGGATAGAAATTCGATACGGCGCCGCTTGCCACACCCAAGCGGTGCGTGGCTTGAACCGGGGTCAATATTCGACTGCATTCCAAGAGGGGTGGGGTGCGCCTATTTTCACTCTGCGATGAGACAGAATGCCACCACGTTGCCGCCGATGGCCCCACTGAACTAGCTAATGGCAGACGTGGCTTGTGTACACCGATACGATCAGCTTTTTTCTCACGCTCCAGCGGACCTTCGACGGTTGTGGATGACTGCGAATCTGCCGACGCTGTGGCCGTGGCTTGAGGGGCAGCGTCAATCCTTCCAACATGCAACGAGTTCTTTCCCTTGCGAGACGTCATTCGACGGCTTCACACCTGACAAAAACAAAAAACCAAAAAAAAAACGACAACAACAGAATTGCAACGAAAAGCCGGCATAATATTCAAAACAGAACACGATAGCCAGCCAACATAACGTTATACTTATATGTTATGTATATATAATGTACATCTAACCTCAAAAAAGGCTGACACACATGTTGTTAAAAACTTTTATACATCTTCATATTCCAGCAAGACAAGAATATACACCGCAACAAGCAAACGGTAGAAACAACAATTTGTTCTTTTCTCAGGCGATGAAGTTGGACACGTAGATACGTGGCTACGTCACCCTTGCCCTAGCCACCAACGCCGGCAGAGATAGCTTTAGAGCGTCGTAGCTCCTGGGGTGCTGTAAAATCATTGCCCGGCACGTCATGTCGTTGCCAATGCCCCACAAGGCGCGGTTGCCTTGCAATAAGATGGTATCCATCTCTTGGTATCTGAACATAATGTCAATAAGGAGGGAGGTGAGTACTTCAAGAACGTGTCGCCCAGAGCTGGAGGCAAGTCCACCACTCACAAAACAAAGATCAATAGCTTTCCTGTGTTGCGCTAACTCTCCAACAAAGTTCATAAGCGCCTCCATAAGAAAGACCTGATCTTGTTTCTGTTCCGCCAGGTAAACTGTATGCTCCACGATATTCAACTTCACAAGTGTTTCGGCGTTCTCATGGTTGACAAGTAGAAGTGTGGTGAAGAAGCTGAAACCAAATTTTTGAAGGACCGTTGTCTCCTTAAAGCGTTGTAGGGCGGCGTGCGCGAGCACCAGTGCACGGTGACCGAGGGATCCAGAGAAGTCCGGCTTGTTGCCTCCTGTGGAAAAATTATAGAGAACAACAACGGAAAACTCTGCAATTTCCTCGTTCGTAGGATACTTTTCCATGGCGCCAAGAATAATATCAACAGCACCTCCTTCTACAAGCAATCGCTGCGCATTTGCCTCCTCAAAGCTGACATTCCACATGGCACGAATACATGCGCTTACCATGTCGATATCCTCATTAAATCGGTTTAGGCTAAAAAGGATCCATTGAATACCACCGGATGCCACCGTGCTTCCAATGAGATTTGGGAAACACGTGTGCTCACACAATTTTGCCGCTGTGGCACGGGCAATCTCACGATCTTCAAAGTTCTCTAGGATTAACACAATTCTCGAAATGTCATCCTTGAGGTACCATGTACTCCATACATCCTCAAAGATGCTTTTTTGTTGAATGCATCGCAACATTTTGTTTGCAAAGAGGTGCCTTACGACTGAGGCAATTGACACCACTCGATTCACCACACCCTCTCCCTCAGAGCGCAACTGTGACTGCAGACCAATAAGCTGGCCACACTCATTAAACGCAGGACAACCCGCAGTTCGCACATCCCCGTTGGCCTTCAGATAAAATAAGTCATTGCGACAGCGCAGCACTTCTTCAAATCGTTTCACTTCTATAGATGCAGTATTTTCATCGTCATCGGGGTTGTCAGTGTTGGTTACGTTCTCTCCAACACCGCCTTCCCAGATAGGATGCTGCACCACCAGGATAATGTCGCCCTCCCGCACAGGAGCCCAGTCTTTTTGTGTGAGCGGAAGGTCCACCGGCGTAACGTTAAATATGCCATACTCTTCACATCCCACAAGGCAGTAGTCCATGTAGTCTGGATAGAAGGCGGCAAAGAAAAGCTTCTGAGGCCGTAGCCTCACCTCCACCGGCTTTTTCTTGGAACCCTCAAAGAAAACGGCGGTAAGCTGAGCGGCCGCCTCCGGAGTGCTTATCACATGTCGAGATGTTAGCAAAATACCTGGCGAGACAAGTATTGCCGTCCCACGGCCGCGAATCCGGCACACCGCCGGGATGTTCCTTCTATTGCTGCTCGTCAGCACCGTCGTCATATTGCCACACAAACTTGTTGCAATAGACAAGCATAAACAAGATAAAATTCATGTAAAACGAAAAAAAAAATCACACACATGCACGGCAAATATGAGGAACAATGCATGTCCGCATACATGCCGATATTACTATCAATGACTACTGTACCCAGCAAGCATCTGGGGTAGCTGAAGAGAGATTCTCATCAAAGATCTTAGCAGACATACACTGTGCCAATGGCGCTTCCCCAACAAGGACACGTAAAGGGGAAAAATCACACACAACTATACATATATATGTAAACAAATAAACAAACGATAAACACCAAAAAATAGAGTACAAAACAAAACAAAAAAAAAGAATAATAGTAATAACTGCCAGATTCGTCCTTTTGTTGTTGTCCACCCTCACCACCTCATATTCCCCTCTTCGTATATGTATAATACGCGCCCCATGGAAATCAAATCAGATGCATTCTCTCATGTGCAGGTTTCACAGAAAGGGAAATAGGATACACCCAAGTTTGTTTTTTCTTCTTCCTTCCTTCCTTCCTAACGCCACGACCTCATCATTGCGAGGTCTTCCGGAGAGGCGTCTCATCCTCGCTTCACAAACCGTCCTGCAGACCATTTATCCCGCGCCATGAGATCCCCAAAAGTGTAGGATCGCCTACAGCTGAAGCAAAATGCCGCCTTGCTACCCGGCGGCCCTGAGGGGGTGGCAGAGCAGGAAGTAAGCCGCATCCTGCAGTGCGGACAGTTTCCAAATTCAACCTCCTCAGGGATGGTCCTGGGCTCTCTCAACTCGACCTCGAGTCTTACATTCTCGCGCACAGGATCCTTATTTGGCTTCGCTTCCATTGGAATCTCCCCTCCGCATCTTCGGTCACATCCCGCAGAAAAAGGTCTTCCTCTCGAATTTTCTCCATCTTCAGCATCTTCGCAAACCCTAAGGAAAAGACCTTCCTGGGAACATTCAGCTGTGAGGCCACCACCCTGGTATACCGCTCTCGACCGACCAACCTGCCTGAAGATAAACGCTTCTCCAACTTTTGTGATGCACGCACCGCTTCCGTCTTCATCTCCTGCAGCTCCGCTTGCAGAGATTCTTTCCCCTTCACCTCACGATACAGCTTGCTTCGCAGCTTGGCAATTTGTTGTTGCACGAATACCAACTCATTGTCTTTTTGCTTCAGCATTTGTTCCGTGGTGGTTGGGGGCTGATTCCGTTCCTTTTTAAGCTCACGCCGGAGAAACTGCACCTGATACTTTGCTCTTGCCCACCCCTCCTGCGCCTGCCGGAGCTGTTCGTTCAACTCCTCGCAGCGTGCCCGAACGATAGTTAGTTCCGCCTCCACCCGAGTAAGATGCGAGAGTGAAGCCTCTGCCTCACCCAACCTGCTCCTTAAACCTTCATTTGCGTCGCTTAACTTCATCACTTCACGCTGCCGCAAGCTAATTAGCGACTTGGCTTCGGCAAAGTCAAAAATCATATTCCTTAACATGTAAAGAGCCGCAACAAGCTCTTTTGTATCCCGAACAGGGCAGAGATCCTGATTAGAAAAAAAAGGTCTCTCCTCTCTATCGTTGGCCTTTATCAGATTTTGCCTAGCAGTGTAGAGAAGCTCACGTAAGGCCTTCTGCAGGCCGTCTGAGAAGTCCACGTTTCTTCTTCTTGCACAAATGCGGTTTTCGTAGACGTACTCCTCAAGACTCAGTACATCAAAGGTATGTGGAACACTGTCCACAAGCCTTACACCGTCGTGCGTTTTCATCCATATCCCTTCCTTTAGAAGATCACTTGTCACTTTTTGTGCAGCTCTGTACTGCCATTTTATCCAATAAACACGCCGCAGCTGCTTCGCTGTGGCCCCACTGAGCGTTTCCACAGCATGTTTCCTAATGCCTTGTAATCGGTTGTTTGTAAAGGTCAACACATCTCTATCTCCCAGCACGTTGATGTGGTTCCGCTGCTTCAAAAGTGGCGTTCGTTCAAGATCACAAAGCATAGGCTTTGTGGTGTCAAAGCTATCCTCTGCCATAATGGCGATAGCTGTGTTAAATGAAAGATTCCTAGGTGGCCTGGAGAGTTTGTTCTCCCTCACCTTTGCAGGTTCCGCCACCTCAGAAGTAAAGTTAATGCCCGCTTCAGAAAGCGGCTCCGAGCGGCTCCTGCTCGGTTGGAGAAATAAACGCCTGAAAACCATAGGATTCCACCTGCAGTTCGCAGTTGTCCTTCAAGACATGTGGGAAGGCTGAGGCTGGAGTCGCCGACTGCAGTGCACCACCAGGCAAACCGTCCCCACCCTCGAGCTTATTGGAAGCTGGCACTGGTGTTTTCTCGTGTTTTTCAATGCCCGGCGATGCTGGGGTTGCGGTAGAAGGAGCAGAAAAGGTGTCATTATTATTATTCAGTGGATAATGCAGAGAATCCTCAGTCACAGAGTCAGGCCCCGACCCATACTTTTTCATGAGATGCCGAATAACTGCTTCCTCCTTTCCCTTAAACTTTAGCAACGATGCATCCACCGTCCCCACCTTCGATGGCTCATACTTTTGGTATATGGCGATCATGCGGCTGCGGTAGTCACCTCGTGTCGAGGTCTGGGAAGTGGAGGCGGCGTCACTGTTCCCATCCATGGCCTTTGACATCGCTGAAAGGTTTGAATCCAATGGACGCAGCACTAAAACAGCACCCGATGAGGGAAGACCGAGGGAATCCGCTGTATCTGTGGACTGGATGACACGGGTGGTGGCTACCACTTTCCGGTCATGCACCTCCGCAAAATGAAGCCGAAAATTGTGCCAAAGAGCCTCGTTATCAACAGCCTCCTGAATCAGGGCAAGTACCTCCCCAAACGGTTTGCTCGGTGTGATGTCAACGTGAACCTTGCCCACCACTGGTGCCCCCAAAATCGTTAACTTCATCCCTTTGAAAAAGCAAATCCAACTCAAACGATATCCTGCTCCCCCTTTGTAGCAGAAATACGTACGCGCGTGTGTGTCTGCGCAAACACACCGAGTTTACACTTTTCTCGGCCCCTTGTGTTCTGCTTCCCGCAAAGTAGAAGAACAGGAAGAAATAAATAATAATAATAATAAAGCAGGAGTCTACCGGTGCAGCAGCGAGAAAAACATTAAAGCAACATTGACACCTTTCCAAAGGTTTTCGGCACTGTGCATAAAAAAAAACAACAAAAGATCAACTTGAGGGATACAAACTTGCGCCACTTTCGCGAATGCCTCTAGATGCCACCGCTATCCGGTGCAACAGACCTCCCTCTTTTTGCATGAACCTTTCTCGTCGCTCCAACACTCGGTCTGCACGCACCGCTCCCTTCAAAGATTTCCACACACCCGGTTGCGCTATCGCATAATCCAACGGATACCCACGATGCCCACCACCACCCAACGCGTAGTGCTGCTCAAAGCCCCAGCGACCTCCCTGGAGAACAACCGCCTGAGCTACAATTCGCTGAAATGCCGTCGCCTCGTCGCACGCAAGCAAGGTTCGCTGCAAGTGTTCGGCGCAAATAAGTTCCACAGAGGCTATACACCCCTCACTCAAGCTAGGCCCCGCCATGACCGAGAGGAGTGTCTCCCCCCTCCGCCTCCTCCTTTCCTTGCTTCAGTGTCACAGTTCAGTGGCAGGGGGAGTTGGAAAAAATAAAAATAAAAACAAAGAAGATGTGCGTTACAGTGGCAAACGTCATGCCATCTCATTTTTAGCTTACACTGCATGTTTTATCCCAAGCATCATCAACATTGATCCAGATGAAACATGAATAGTTAGCCTCAAAAGAGAAAACTTAACAAGCCACACATATCAACGCAAAGCGAAGAAGTAAAGACTTCCATCACTTCACGGCCACAAGAACAAAAAAAA